AAATTTTCTGCTTTTCTTAAGATTCCAGATTAACTAAATCAATATGATTAGAGGTTTAACAAATTGCCACCCACAGGAACGAATAGATCTTGGAAGCGTCAGAGTCCAGTAAACACACTCCGCCATGCACAGAAGGGTCCCCGCTGCATGTGCTGGTTGCACGGTGACCCCCCATATTCCATTGTCCTCTGCGGTTCGGATGCTGCTCGGGGCCTGGGGAGGGGGCTCCCGGCCTGCTTTTACCCCCTCAGCTTGGAAAACGCCCGCTTAGATGATTCTGCTCCAAACCACCTGGAAGCGGAGGGGACACCCACTCACCCCCCGTCCCCTGCTTGTCCGGCGGGAGTGGCCCCGCGGGGACAGCACACCACGCTCACCTGCTCCTGCCGCACCACGAACAGGACGTCCTCTCTGGGCCGCACGGCCACCGCCTCGCCGCGGATGCTGACCTGCAGGCCCCGGGGCGGCGTGAGCGGGCACTGCAGCTGCGAGGGGCTCTGCCGAGGGTCCACGCCGCCCTCACACACGTTGGACACCACCTTCCGGTACCTGCAGCCAGAGGGTGGGTCAGGGCCTGCACAGACGGCGGGGAAGGGCACGGGCCCCGCGGCCTGGCGGGGACTCGCCGGTGGCAAGGTGTGGCTCCCGGCTGGCGGCCTCCTTACGGATGCCCGGCCTCCTCCTGGCCTTCCAGCCTCCTCCTGGCCCCACCGAGAGCCATTGCTGCCCCGTGTCAGAGCTAAGAGGCCAGGAGAGGTGGGGGGTGGCCGGCCGCTTCCCTGTGCAAGTCACAGGACTTACGACAACCCTAACACCTCTTGTGGGCGAGGGTGTGACTGGGCGCAGCCTGAATGCTGGGGCCTCGCTGAGAAACGTGCCCAAGAGGGGCCGGGGCTCCCTTCCTCACCACCCGGCTAGAGGACACCTGATCCAGCGACTCCTTCCCACCGCGTATGTGCTGGGGGACGGGCGGACCACGTACAGCCTCTGCCCTTGCCAGGGAGACGGCCCAGTGCGGGAGGCAGACTGCGCCACGCTACCCCCCTACATCAAGGTAAAATCACCGCCCACAAGCTCTAGGAATCAGTCCCTGAGAGAGCGGCTTTCAGCTGAAGTCGGAAGGGCGAGCAGGAGAGGGAAGGGCACCCAGGCAGCAGGACCAGCATGGGCAAAGGTCCTGTGGTGGGCGGCTGGAGCCAGAGTGGGGAGCAGGGCTGGGAGGAGGCTGGGCAGGGGTTGGGATGCAGAGACCATGGGCTCTGATGGACCTTTTAGGTTTGCCGGGGGTGGCATCAACTGATTTGCCGATTGTGAAGCTCCCTAAGGCTACACAGGGACCCTGGGTCCATAAAACTCGCATCACTGCCAAAGAGCCTGGCTCTGCCCACCTCCCTGAGCCTGGAGCCCCCTCCTGCCCCCAGAGCTCAGCCACAGAGACACACATTCAGGGGTTTATCATGCAAAACACACTGGATTAATTCAGAAGAAAATACATCTAAGAGCTACCCGCCACGGCACCTTGGTGCCCAGAGTGTGCACATGGTCCGATGTGCAACCCTTCACTCTTGATGTGGGCCCTAGCTCTGACCCTCCTGACAAGTGTCCCTGCTTGCCACACCCTAGTGAGTGCACCAGAGAGGCTGCTGTGGCTGATGGCTGGAGGGATGATGGGTGAATGATGGATGGAAGAGAGATGGATGGATGGATGGATGGATGGATGGACGGATGGATGGATAATGGGTGAATGATGGATGGAAGGAAGATGGATGGTTGGACGGATGGATGGATAATGGGTGAATGATGGATGGAAGGAAAATGGATGGATGGATGGATGGATGGATGGATGGATGGATGGATGGATGGATGTATAATGGGTGAATGATGGATGGAAGGAAGATGGATGGATAGATGGATGGATGGATGGATGGATGGATGGATGGATGGATGGATGGAAGGGGGAATAGATGGATGGATGGGTGATGGGTGAATGATAGATGGAAGGATGAAGGAGGGAGGGAGGGAGGGATGATGGGTGAATGATGGAAGAATGGATGGATGGATGATGGATGGATGGAGATGGGTAAATGATGTAAGGATGAAGGATGGATGGAGGGATGGATGGGTGGTGGGTGAAGGATGGATGGATGGAGGGAGGGAGGGAGGGATGATGGGTGAATGATGGATGGAAGGATGAAGGATGGATGGATAGATAGGTGAATGATGGATGAAAGGATGGATGGATGATGGATGGATGGATGATGGGTGAAAGATGGATGGAAGGATGAAGGATGGTTGGAGGGATAGATGATGGGTGAAGGATGGATGGATGGATGATGGATGGATGGGTGGTGGGTGAGTGCTGGAAGGATGATGGATGGATGGATGGACAAATGGATGGATGGATGGAGGGATGGATGGAATTTACGCTGCTGAGGCCAAAACCTGCAACATCTGGTCCTGCTTCCTAAGCTCTGCCCCTGCCCCTTCCCCAGGGGAAGTAATGGGGATTTTCTGAAAAGTCCACTGATGTTTTCTCCCCTCTCAACACTGCCTCAAAGGGAAACAGAGACCTTAAGATAGAGCATCTCGGGACCTCCTGAAGCTGTGGGTTCACAGCTTCATATACCTGATGCTTTCGCTCTTTGTTCAGAGCCAGCTCAAAGCACACTCTGTCCCTGATGCTGCCCATGTGGGCTCAGATTCAGCCCCTGGAGGGTCGGTGCCCGGGGTGACTCTCAGGAGCCCAGCCAATAGGGCGTCGTTGGTTGACTTCTCTTTCCGCGACTCTGCCCCCAGAGCGGCGCGAGGAGGCGCGTGCTGCACTCACCCAAGGCTGCTGCTGTAGGTCTGGCCCAGGACACAGTCGTCTGGCGGGGACAGGGGGTTAAACCAGAAGCTGGCAAAGCACTTGCTGGCATCAGACTCTGAGGAGGGGGAGCGCTCAAATCCGTAGTCACTGTTGGAGGGCAGAAGAGCGGTCAGAAGACAGGTCTGGGTGGGGATGGGAGCTGGTCTGGGGCGGGGGCCTCACAGCAAGGGCCCGCGATGCACCTGTTTGTGGGGACACACAGCCCCGTCCAGCCTGAAAATCAGGGTTACATTCCAGGTGAGAAGAGTTGCAGAGGGGATTCTGGGAATTCCCAGGAGAGCACGGAGCCCAGCCCAGATATCCTGGAGGGCTGCTTGGAGGAGGTGCACTGAATCTCAAAGGAAGGCAGTGGACAGCCAGGGGGAAGAGAGGGGAGGGGCACTGCACAAGGGGCCCCTTCAACGCTGGTGAGGGAGGTACAGGTGGAGGCGTTGGGCATGTAAGGGGGAGCAGGAGGGCAAGGGTTGAGGATGGCTAGGAGGCAGGTGGCGGCCAGAGGCTTCGTGAACCAGGCTCTGGAACTCGGAGAAGGGCTGGGTGGGCACCGCTTGCCCCCAGGACACCCTCCCCGGTTCCTAGCGCCCCTCCCCGCTGTGAGCAGGCCACTGTGATGGCTGTGCCCACGTGCCCTTGAGTTCCCCGACGATCCTCCCGGGAGCGCCCTGGGCTTCGCTCCTGGCTCTAAGGCACAGAATAAGGCGGCAGGAGGACTGTGAGTCTGAGACCCGCGCTGGGCGGCGGCTGCCGGCTCGTGAAGCTGCTCAGGGCGCCCCGGAGGCCCGTGGCCGGCGCGGTCCTCACCAGAGGAAGTCTGACTCCCGGCACCTGCACACCCGGGACTCGAGCGCCGACGTGAAGCTCCGTCCCTTGATGCACCAGGACGTGGACTTTCTCTTCCGGAAACTTCTCTGCTGGCCCATGATGCAGCGGTCGCCCTGCAGCGGGAACGTGGGGTGAAGAGCCGGCCGAGAAGGGTCCACTGCCCTCCGGTGGCTTGGACTGCTGCTTTTGCCCGTCCCCGAAAATAGCCGATTCTCAACCCTCAGGCAGCCGCGTGGGGCAGGGGGTGAGTCCCCTTTCCCAGATGGGGAAACCGAGGCCCAGAAGACAAAGTGGCGTTCCTGAGGTCAAGCTGGGGCATCCCCCTCCCATCCCGACCCACAAGCATCCATTGAGCACCCACTGTGTACACGCTCCCCCTGGCCCTGAGGGGTCACGGTGCTGCTGGAACCCAGGTCCCTGTTATGTTTCTCCTCGTCCCCGGGGTGGACGCCCTGTGCAGGAGCTTGGAGGAGCCACGGCCCACGGGGCGCATGTGGACACACAGCAGGTCCTCGGCATGCACTCGCAGCAGCCCCCGCCCAGCCCCACAACGGGGACAGTGACAGGAGCAGGGACCCCAGCAATTCCAGAGCCCCACATTCTGAAACCTTGAGCCTCCTCATCACAACTTCAGCAGCACAATCTGGTCTGCACTGCAGGCGGGCTGCTTCCAGCCCTTATTTATTTCACATAGTGTGACTAGTCTACCTTTTGTTCTAGAAACATCTATGTTTTTGAGGTTATGGGGCGGGGCTGCCATAACCCCCCAGGGCTGTTAAGTAATCTATGACACAGGCCCGTGTTGCCCGCCTACCATGTCACAAGCCCCAGACCCCAAGCACACTGGACTGCACAGTGGGGTCAGGGCGCATGGCCCCGTGCCCCTGAGCGTGGCGGCAGACCCAAGCCCAGAGCAGCCCAGACACCAAGAAGTGGCCAGAAAATCCAGCAGAAGGACCGGACGTGTCAGGGCCGCCGGGGTTCTGGGAAGCCCTGTTGGAGGTGAGGCTCCTGGTGCCGCGCAGGAAGGGGGATGCACAGGCAGGGAAAGCTGCCCTGCCCTGCAGCCCGGGCCCCGGCCCACCTTCAGGTCGGTGAGGTCCCAGGAGCCGTAGTCCTCCTCCCTGCATGGCCTGGAGAATGAGGGCCGGAAGTCCACCTTGACCAGCTCCCAGTCGGACCGGAAGCTGATGTGGCCGAAGACGCTGGGGAGAGAAGAGGAGGGAAGGAAAATCACCTTAGCCTGGCCTGCTTCATGGTGCGAACCACTTCCCCTTGGGGCCTCAGCGCCCCCTCCTCACGGGCCCAGTGGCAGCTCTCCTGGCCTCTCCTAGAGTCCTGCCCCCACCCCCACACTGTGCCCAGCCAGCTGCCGGCGTGTGGTCCTGGTGGTGGTGTCTCCATGAGGATCACACACTGTCTGCGGCTCATGGATGGCATGGGTGGGGGTCTCCCCCCACAACCCCCTCAATGGATGAGGAAGTGGGCGCAGTCGTGTCAGGAGCCCGGGCCTCCCAGTTGCCACCCAGGCCCTTCCATAGCCTTCCACGGTCCTTGCTTCTGTTCCGCAGAATGTCGGGGGGGTCAGCTGGACGCGGGGTGATTCTTCCACCTCAGTCAGCATCACTGCACCAGGGTCTGACCCGCGGACACCCAGGTCGGCCTCACCGTGCCTGAACCCTGCACCGCGAACACCCAGCTCTGCAGAGCTGGGCCACCGGCTGTTTTTCCAGGCACAACCAGCAATCCAAAGAGAGGTAACGAGTCATCATACAGGCTCACAGCGGCAGGACCTCAGCCTGTGCTCACCTCCTGCTCACCATGTGGCCCCAGCCTGGGTGAGTGGAGGAAGCAGGGGAATGGAGCACCATGGGGGCTCTTGAAAGGCCAGCCATGTACAGGGCACCCATGATGTGCTGGGGGTTCCATCTATGCTGTCTGGTCTAATCCCCACCCCAGCCTCGTGAGACAAGTCCACCCCTATTTTACAGAAAGGAAGACTGAGGCACAGAGACGCTAAGTAATTTGCCCCAGGCCACACAACTTGTTTGGGCCATTTCCTCTTCCTCAGCATGCAGCAGTCATTTGCTGAACACCTACCATGTACCCAGATCCCTCCCTCTCTGCAAGGACTGCTATTTCAGGGGCTCCAAAAACCACCACAGAAGAGGGGCTCAGCCAACATGTCCTTGGTCCTTCCCGAGTCCAACCTGCAGCATTCCGGACATATCACCAGAGGTTGAGCATCTGGGTAGAGGAGGTGATACCCCCTGCTGTACTCAGTCCCCTTCCAAGCATGTTGACAGGGACAGGATACTTGGGGAAGGACAATCAGGATCCGAAAGGATCCTAACCCCATTCTAGGATGGTAGGTCACCTGGCTCATTCTGTTTTCTAGGGGACATGATGGCTGGCTCTGAATGTCCGAGGCTGATATCTGAAGAGGAGTTTTGCTTTCATGGGACATCTCTGAGCCAGGCAGGCCTGGGTTGATGCCCCATCTCCTATGTCTGTGACCTTGGGCAGGCTCACTCCCTCTGTGGACCCCAGTTGCCTTGGCTTTAAAACGGGGACGATAGTTCTGGCCTTTCAGGATTGATGGCGGATTAGCAATGGTCTGTGTGGGGCGCCGGCACACATTAGGAGCTTCATGCACATGCACACGCAACAATTTCTCTGCTCCCCAAAACGGTCCCACGAGGTAGATACTGTTATCTTTATTTTGCAGATGAAATCCCCCGCCTCTGCAGGCTGGCCATGGGCCTCCTCGGGTCCTCAAGGCCCCTGAGCCTCCCTCTGTCTCAGCCTTGACCTGCCCCTGTGGTCAGCCTTGTGTCCCGTCTCCCAAACAAAGCCCGCTGGGTTGGTTACAGAAACAGAGAGTGAGGGTCTTCTCTCGATAGGGACACTCTTTAGGGAGCACTTAGGGCGCCCCCAAGGCAGAGCAGGCCTGTCCCCCTCCTGCAAAGCACGTTATCCTGAGAGCAGCAAGTGCGCATTGGACACGTACTGACATGACCTACCGACTGTGTGCGAGGCCCCGGGTCGGCGTCTCATCTTCTCCTTTTTCCCAAAAACCCGTGAGGAATATACTGCTGTCATTCCCATTTTACAGACAAGGAAACTGAGGCTGACAAGGGACCCGCCGAGGACAGCGCAGCCAAGGCCGCTGCCTCCTAAAGCCTCAGCTGAAATGCAGAAATATCTGTCACCTGGTTCATTCTGAGTTTTAGGAAGAGCATGCCAAAGGCAGCCCGCGGATCACCTCACAGTTAATAGGAGAGAAGGGGCCAGGCGGGGCAGGGTGGGCCAGGAGCCCCCTGCCCCGTAAACAGCCCCCCGACCCTGGGCGTGGCACGGGAGGGGAGGGTGGGCCTCGGTGACCCAGCCTGGGGGACACGTCCTGAAAGGCGGTGGTGGTCACCTGTGACATGACCTTTGGGTAGATCTGGATAAAAAATCACCTGAGAAGATGTTCTCAACTGTGCAGGAAACAGGACAGCAGGGGAGAGACACAGACAGACAGAGACACGGAGAGGGGGAGAGAGACACAGAGAGACAGAGACACGGAGAGGGAGAGAGGAAGGAGCAGGGTCGGGGGGGAAGGCCGCCGGGTCCCAGCGAGGACGCGCCCACGGCCCAGAGACATACACGTTTTGTTCTAGCGTGCCCGTGTGTCCCCTCTTGGGCCGTATGACTGGCTCCCGTGTCACCTGGGATTTGAACAGCATGTGGAGACGCAGCTCCAGGAAGGAGGAACTGTCGTCCTTTAAAACCTTAAAAGGTTATAGCACCTGCTTTTTCTGGGGCCAAACCCAGCCCTGGTGCTGTGACACATGGGACCAGGGGCTTGGCTCCAAGCCCAATGCTCTGGGGTAGAAAGTGTCCCCATTCCTCAGCTGGGGAAGCCGAGGCCTCTGGCCCGGCGGGCTCATCACCCTCCGTGCTGGCACTTTTGCTCGATGGACACCAGCCTGCTCGCCACACCGCAGACAGACAGCCCTGCGTTGGACCCCAGGCTGGAGCCCTCCCTCCCCTGCCCACACACGCTGACACCCTGCTGCAGCCCCAGGAGGAACCGGCCCTCCCATCTCAGACCCGAGCCTGCGGCAGCATGAGGCCCACACAGATACACAGAGCCATACGGGACATAACACGTCCCCAGGCAGGGGCACGGCAGCGACTGGGTGTCCAGGGGAAGCGCCCCAGCCAGGGTCTCGAGGACGACATCACCGGGTCCCCTCCCTCTCCAGTTCTGGGGACCATGCCAAGCTGAGGTGACAGGGGCCCCTTGCCCACCACTCCCTCGGTGCAGAATTGTTGAGATTTTAGCACCTCTAGAAAGGGGGGGGCAATACATCCTTCCGTGGACATTTCTTATGAGGACAAAATGAGATGACGTATCAAAATGGACCCGTAACATGCAGCAGGTGCTCAGCAAGGCGTCCCCAGGGCCCTTGTCCAAGGGACCATACTGCTGAAGAGGCAGGGAGGACACCAGGCTGCCTCCGTCCTGGTGGCAGGGAAGGCCCCCCAGGGAGGGGACACTAAGCTGAATTTCAGTCTGCAGGGAATTCAGACGGCTGCCTGCCCCTGTCGTCTCAAACGTCCGAGGGAGGAGCCCACACTCACTGTTTACCCGTCCTGCCCCGCGCCATCTGCAGCCCCCAGAAGCCTAGGAGGTGGGCACCAAAGTGGGGGTGGTCAGCAGTGGTCAGTGGAGGTTGGCTGTCCAGGCTGCGCTCCCAGCCCCACCCAGGCACCAGAGCAGCTCAGGGTTCCCTTCCCCCGGTGTCCCCACTAATGAAGGTTTCTTGCCAGTTTGGGTTTAAGGCTGGGGGCTCATCCACGTGGATCTCGGAGGGGGGCGGTCAGAGGTGCGAGCCCCTCGCCCAGCATGGCCGATGGCAGAGCCGACAGGGCCGCGGCGTGGAGGCCCACTGGGAGCTGGGAGGGCACACAGCAGTGTGAGTCCCTTAACCAGGTGCTTCTTGCCGGGGCCCTGCCAGGGAATGGCTCCCAGGCAAGAAAGCCGTGCCCGCCGCAGGGCACACGGCCATCCCAGGCCGGGCCCGCGGGGAGAGGGGTCCCACTGCTGACCACTGTCCTGGCCAGGCCGGTCGGCTCCCGGAGACATGGCGCCAGAACAGGCAGACCGTCCGCATCCTGATGGGGGGCAAGCAGCTGCTCCTTCCCCACCCCACCAGTGGGCCCTGGGACACCAGCATCGTTCACACTAGCGAGGAAGGGGGCCACTCTTTACTTAAGTTTGAGGTCCGCCCACCGGACCACCAGCTCTGAGGGTCCTCGGGGTCCTCGGTGCCCAGAACAGCGGGCGGCACATTGCAGGCCGTGCTGGAGAGTCTGAGAGCCGCTGGCCTCCACGGCCTCTGCTGTGGTGTGGAGCCGGGGGCCCCGGTCAGCGGGGGAGGCGCAGTCCTTCCCCCGCCCGTCCGGGCCTTCGGGAAGCTTCCGCCCAGTCGGCCCAGAGGAAGAGCAAGCAGAGAGGCTGACCGCTCGCAGAGACCGGGGGGCCACAGTGCAGCACCCCACCTACCACCAGCGGCCCCCGGCCTAGTGGAGCAGGGAAGGTTGTGGGGCCCTGTGATGGCTTCCGGGGGCTGCCCCGGCCACTTCCACAAACTGAGGGCTGCGAACAACAGAAACTTATTTTCTCCCAGTCCTAGAAGCCATGAATTTGAAATGCAGGTGTTCACAGGGCAGGGCCCCGTCCACAGGCTCTAGGGGAGGGTCCTTCCTGCCTCTTCCAGCTCCCGGGGCTCCCGGCACTCCTCGGATTGTGCCTCCGCCTCCAGTCTCCGCCTCGGGTCACTCTCTCCCCATGTCTGTCTGCATCCCTCCCCTTCTTATAAGGACGTTGGATTAGGGACCCCCCCCCCCACGGCAGTGTGACCTCATCCTGACTGATCGCATCTGCAAAGACCCTGCTTCCCAATAAAGTCATGGGTTCTGGGTACATGTGCATTCTGGGAAACATGGTCTCCCCAGGACAAGCATCATCAGTAAAAGGCAGGCTGTGCCAAGTGTGGCCAGGCATACAGAGAATCAGCGGAGCTGTTAGAAATGCAGAGTCTCAGGCCCCACCCTGGCCCGCAGATCAGCCTGAACAAGCCCCCAGGAGGGCGGATTGGCCAGGAAGGAGCCTTCCACAGCTGGACCCCCCTCTCCCCAGTGTCTGGGGAGTGCAGTTGAGCCCCGTGCACCCTGTTTCAACTCCCGCCCTCTCAGATCCCAAGAAGGATGCCCCTGTGCCCTCTCCTCACCGTGCCCAGGGCAGCATTTGGCCCGGAGTGAGGCCTGGCTCCCCCTGCGAGTTGGCAAGAGGCCTCGGGCTCAGGGGCCCAGAGCTGCAACCTCAGAGCCCAGCCTGCCCCGGCCACAGCCTGGCTCTGCCCTGCATGGGCCCTCCCTGCGCAGCAGGCCTGGGAGCCCTTCCAGGGGCCAGGAGCTCATAATAATAATGGTGATGATGATGGTGAGGAAAGCTCCCAAGGCCGCTTCAGGCAGTGGGCCAGAGCCGCCCTTGACTTGGTTCCAGCCCTCACCACCTAGGTGATCCTGGGCAGGTGACGGACGTCCCAGGCGTGGCAGGGGCCAGTGGACAGGAGGACACGAGGAGGCAGGTGTGAGGTTGGAGAGGAGAGTGAGGAAGACGGGAAGGAGGGGGGAGGCCAGTGCTGAGCGCACCTCGGAGCAGCAAGGCCATCTGCCCGCCCGCCTCCTGTGGGCACTCACGTCATGACCAGCGTCTCGTCCCCCGGCTCACTCAGCAGCCCGTCCACAAACACGGAGGTGCTGGTGAAGTTGTGTGTGCTCCAGGTAAGGCCCTCGTCCACACTGAACCTGCCGAGAGAAGGGGTGTCACCACCGCAGGCAGGTGGGAGCACGGCCCATGTCCCAGACCTGCTGCCCTCCTGGATCCAGCCCTGCCCGAGCCCCAGCGCCAGCGCTGCCCAGCTGAGGGGGCTGGGGGCCCACAGCAGCCGCCCGCCGGCACCGAGTGGCCTCCGCATCTCCTCAGTAACACTACAGCCAAGGAGTTCTGGGTGGGTTGTCTAGGTACCGCGATGCTGCTTTGCAGCCCCTGGACTGCAGTTATCTGGACCTTGGAACATCCAGGTCAGCCCCACACAATGCCTGAGCCTAGCCCAGGGGTTGCCAGGCCAGGGACAGAAGTTTACTGCCTCCCAAAGGCATCATATCACGGTGTCCCCAGCTTGTAGTGCAGAAAACTCTTCTTCAGACTAAAGTGATTTTGGCTTGCCGGCAGCTCCCCCAGCTCTGCCTTCTGAGTCCAGAGTTCACACCTGCCCTCACTTCCCCACAACGGCCCTTCAGATGTCTGAAGCTGATCCAAACGCCCTCTCACCTGGGCACATCCCTCTGGCTTCCTTGCCTGGCCCTGCCTCCTCCAGCTGACTAACTTGTTGATGCTTGAACGTCACCTCCTCTGGGAAGTCCTCCCTCCAGCCCCCCGACCATGCTGTGCTGTTATTCCCTGTTTCCCTGTGTCCCCCTGCCTGGCCTGGAACAGCTCCCAGGTGGAGGAGCCCTGACCACCCTGCCCCCGCCCCCCATGCCGGGCCCGCATGGTGTTACTTGAGGATCTTCAAGGGGATGGAGGTGTCCTTGATAGCTGCGATCACGCCACCGTGGTCCAGGTAGAGGACATGGTGCTCTTCCTCGAACACCTGCAGAGGGGGCAGGTGACACTCTGAGGGCAGGTCACTCTCTGGGGGCAGAGGTGTCAACACACAGGCTGGGGGCCACCAGCAGAGGCCAGCTCCCTGAGGCAAGGCCAGCCTGAGGGCTCCCCGTGTCCCCCAGGCCCTCCCCATGCTCTCCCACGCCACCCAGACTCAGTGCGCGAGGGATGAGTAAATGAGCATGGCAGTTTCTAGACCACTGGCGTGAGAACATTGCAAATAAATGCCACAGGCAGCCCTCTGCACAGGAAAAGCCCGCACACCAATATGGCAGACGACGTGAAGGTGAGAAAGAAATCATGGAAGTCAGCAAACCTCTATTTGACTACCCGGCAGGTGTGCCGCCTCCTCCAGGAAGCCCTCCCTGAAGCCAGGCTGGGTGGGGAGTGTCTCTGGGCTCTGGGCCTGAGCACTTACTACACTATTTGTCATGGTCTCCTCCAGCCAGGGAGCTCCTCCCAGGCAGGGCCTGCCTCTGAGTCCTCTTTTGTGGCCCAGCACGGCTCAGCTCAGAGAGCCGAGGGTGCCTGTGCTCGGGGAGTGTGTGTGGGGATGAATGAATGAATGAGTAAGGGAGTGAATGAATGAACTGTCACTGTCCCCTGGACAGGGCTCACACAGGAGGAGACACCTCTGGTGGCCCTGGGATCGGTGCTCCAGGTCCTCTCTGTTTGGGTGCTGGAGTCCAGGGGGAGAGATGAAAGTCTGGGCCCAGGAATCCTGGGATGCTGGGGGGCGACAGACCAGAGGGGCAGAAGCCCACTGAGGAAAATGAATTCCCAAACAGCCGGGCTTCTCCTCCAGGAAAGAGTGAGCTCCCTGTCCCAGGGAATATCCAAGGAGAAGCTAGTCTCCTCTCCGGGACCCCTGGGCTGCCAGGCACAGCGTTAGAACCACGCTGGGTCCTCGTGCTGTGCAGGGGGCGCCTCGCAGCAAACGCATCTGTCTCCCTGCGCCCGCAGGGCTCTGTTGTTGGCTCTGTTGCTTTGAACTTGCAGAGGCCTCTGGCCGCACCATGGGAACCCTCATTCCTGCTCCACTGGGGGCCTACTCCTCTTTCTTTCCGGGGTGATCAGGCCGTTGGGCGACGGGGTGTGGCAATGAAACCACACACGTGGGTTCTCAGAGCCTGGTTGTCCCAGAGCCCCAGGCCCGGGCCTCCCGCCCTCTGGCACAGCTCTGTGCACACGCGGCTGGGGGCTCCTCCCCAGAGGACAGGCAGGGGCAGTGACCATGCCCCCTCACCCCAAAGATGGGGTGCCTCCCAGCCACCCCAGGGCACCCAAGAGCGACTCTACTCTCATTAGCCTGGGACTCTGCAAGAGGGGACTCAGGTCTGACCCCCACCAACAAGTCGTTCTGTGGCTTGATCAGCCCCTGGGCAGCCCAGGGGCAGGTAGCCTCCCCTTCCCATCTCTCCACCCACCCCCCACCTCCCCACACCCCAGGCTCCGAGGGGACTCCTTGAATGTTTTCTGGTTTGTTTTTTTTATCATCCTAGGGAGCTCGTGTTTTTAAAAGGTTATGTCCATTAAGCAGGACACACATTGCCATTTGTAATTCATATTCTGAGAACTCTCCTCTCAGACACATGTTATTACATCCTTGACAATCTGCCCACGCTCAGTAGGCTGCCCTGCCTTGGGTGACTGTCCCAGCCTGTCCTCTGTCCCCTCCTCCTCTGCACTCAGGCATGCAGCGCCCCTCCTCTCCTCCCCCGGCTCCGGCGCCCCCACCCGCACCCACCAACGCCAGGCCCCCGTCCGCACTGGAACCAATATTCCCCCATCCAATTCCCTCATTCCCAAGCGTGGAATCCCAGCAAATCTGGACTACAGGGGCCACTGTGAGTGTTTTACAGTCGGTTTCTAGAAAATTAGAACACCTTGTCTGTTTCACCCTGGCCTACTTAATCTAACAGGGGGCACGTTTCCCTAATAAACGGACAGATGGTGACCTTTCAGGAAGTTTAGGCATGTTTCACGGGTTTTAGGGAAATAGAAACATTCTAACACAGTAAGTCTCTTTTGCCCTTTTCAAAATTCCTGGTTTCTTGCATATTATTAAAAATGTCAGGGCCTTACACCCAGGCTGCAGGTAAATGGGGTACCTTCGGGGCTAACGTATTTGTCCAGAGCGCGACCTGGGGGAGGGGCTGCAAGTGGGGCCTCGGGCACGTATAACCTGCCCCAGAGCAGAGCTCCTGACACTGGAAGGGGAGATGCACATCAAAGTTTAGTGCATTTTCTTAAGTGTTAAAAGCAGGGACAGTCACTCCAGGGAGCTGGTGGACCTGACGAGGGCTTTGGGGCTGGAAACAAACAGCAGGTGTAGAGGGAGGCTGGCCTCTCCTGGGGCAGAGCCTGGGCCAGCTCCCGAGCCACGTGACTGCACTGCCCGGGAACGCCGGGGTCCGCAGCCCACAGCCCGCCCTGCAGGCTGGGAATGTCAGCTCCACGTGGGCCTGGCATTGAGGAACCCTGGCAGGTCCAACCATTTCCTGCACAACAGCTTCTCTGCTTTCTTTCTCTTCTCGGGCTGCGCCTCGACCTCGAATCATCCCCCCTGAATGTCTCCCAGGCCCCCCAGCCCAGACTCAGCAAGGCTCCTCCCGGCCGGACCCTCCCCCGTATTCTCTTTCTCTTCCACGTCTCTGCTCTTCCCCCCAAGAATCGCCCCTGCCGGGAACCTGGGGATCACCCGTGGGTCCCCGCTTCCTGGCCTCGGGGCTCCCAGGAGAGCTCAGCCCCAGCTTTTGAGACCCTGCGTGGCACCCGCCGGGATGGCACCCCCAGCCCCCACCCTAGCATTTACTCCCATTGCTGAGACCCCCACAGTGATGGGTCTGAGCTTGTGAAGATGCGTGTCAGATCTCTAACTCCCCAGCAGTGGCTTCTGAGGCCAACGTTAGCACCAGCTGCAGGGAGCTGTCTGTCCAGCCAGGCCGGCAGGCTGCAGGGGGGAGACCTGTGTCTCGGGACACGTCTGGGAGGGGAGGGCACCAGAGAGTCCAAGCATCAGCAGCGAGTCTCGGCAGAATGGGTGTGTGGGCGGGGGCGCCAGGCCCCCAGCCTCCTTACCTGCCGCCAGGTATGGCCGCAGTCTGACGTGATGTACATTTCTTCCTTATATTCCACCAGCTGTGAGCCCAGGTTACCTGGTCGGGAAGAATAGGGGCAGGGTTGCTCTTAGAATCAGCCCACTTTTGGCCTTACCAAGGTATGTGTCCAGACAGATGCCCACACAGCAGTGATGTGGGCCCTGGGTCTACATCTCCCACACCCAAAGCCGCCCATGTGCACACCCCCTCTGCATTCTCCGTACACTGACCGGCCTATGGAACCACTGGGCTTGGGCCCTGCATCCTAGTTTGTGCAAGAAGGGATTAACTTTGCAAAGAAAGAGAGCGTCAGGCAGGGCGAGGCACTTGAGGGGTTCACGGGGAGTGAGCGGTTCAAGAACAACTGTGGAGGGCCGATCAGGGACTGGTGAGGAGGCCATGCTCCAGGTGGGCCGGTGTGGGGTCGTGGCGGTCCCCGACAGGATTTACACTGGGGCAGGACACAGCTGGGTTTGCATTTGGAGCCAGCTCCCCGGGGCTGGGGGCGGGGGAGACCAGAGGTCCAGGGCTGCATGGGAAGTACAGGTGAGAGGCAGGCTAAGCACCCAGGACGTGCTCATTAAATATGTTCAGTGGGTATTCGCAGGAATGTGAGGTGGGCACCAGACCAACCAGATGGCCAGGACGTCCTTAAGTGGTTCACTTAAGCCCAGTACCAGGCTGGCTGATGGGTCACCACCCTCAAGGCCACTTTCTAGACTCAGACTTAAATCCTGGGGTGGGGCCAGAGTGGGAAGATGCCCAGCTCAGTGTCCAAGCCAACCCCAGCCTACAGATGAGGACACTGAAGCCCTTCTGGACTCTAGCCTGGAGCCCCAGAGGCCCCTGCCCTGGGAGACCTGTACGTCACTGGCCATTCGTGGCATTGTTTATGGGGCACTCTCAGGAGTATCTTACCCAGAGTCAAGTTCAGACGTCTTTGGAAAATTCCAAAGGAGATGGATTGTCCTCAAATAGATGAGTGAATGTGAGTTTTAAGCAGAGTGGCAGACGGTTTGTGTACCTGTCATCTTTGTTGAGGTCCAACCAAGCACCAATATGTTCATCCATCCATTCATCCATCCATCCATCCATTATCCATCCATCCATCCATTATCCATCCATCCATTATCTATCCATCCATCCACCCATTTATCCATCTATCCATCCCATCCATTATCCACCACCCATCATCCATCCATCATCCATCCACCATCCATCCATCCATTATCCATCCATCCACTCATCTCTCCATGCATCCCTCCATCATCCATCAATGCATCCTTCATTAGTTTACCCGTCCATCCACCCACCCATCATCCCTCCATCCCCACATTTCTCTTCATCATCAATCCCACCCACTCGCCCATTCCTGCACTTACTCAACAGCATTTGCTGAGCACCTGCTCTCTGCCCAGCCCCTGTGCTGAGCTGTGGGGGTTCTGAGCTGAATAAACCACAGCCCCGGCTCCCAGAGACCTCTCAACCCAGCTGGGGAAGAAGTGTGCCATGCGACTGCACACAGAGCCAGGATATCTGGAAGCCCAAGGAATCGTGAGTGCAGACAGGGGACAGCTGATGGACCCGGGAAGGAAGGCCATCAAGAGGAGACTCCCGCAGGGAGTGACCTCCAAGCTGGGCCTAGAGAGACAAACGCACGCTGGCCAAGGGAGAAGGAAAGGGCGTGCCAGGTGGAGGGACCGCGCGGCAGAGGGAGGGGCGGAGGGGCTGAACTGGGTCCCCTCTCCCCGCCTGGCAAACAAACGGCGCTGAGAGACGGCCATGAATGCAGGCAAGGAGGGAGTCGAATGAATAAATGGAATGACCGGGGTGGGAAGGAGCATTGTGGATGCCGGCAGACACCCCGGGATGCACGCATGGCACGCGGAGCAGCGCAGCGAATGCTGTGGTGTCAGCAAGACTCGGCAGGCGAGTTCCCTGTCTGCGATTTCGTGGCGCAGATGTCTGTCTTCCAAGGGACGCTCTCTGTTTTCCTTGCTCTGTCTACCAGAGCTGTCAGGCTGCCAGTCACCCAACAGGCACGGGGGAAAACTAAAGGGAAATTCACAGAATGTGTCCCCAGGCTGTTAGGGCAGAAGGGCCTGAGAAACATGGAGGCGGTGCCCTCATTCTACAGATGGGGAAACTGAGGTCTGGGGGCGACGTGACTAAGGGAGAGGCAGGGAGGCTGCCATGGGCATGCCCTCTCTCTGCAGGGTCTGGCAGCTCAGCTGGGCTCCGTGGTCTCCGTGAGATGGAGCGTGGTGCATGACACCCCTCCAGATCTGCACGGCATGTTCGGGCAGCCAGGAAGTTCATTCTGGGTTTGTGAGGCCTTTGGGCTACGGAAACATTTAAAACTGTGCCTTTGTTATTCTGGTCAAGAATCTGGGGATTCAGCCCATCAGGACAGTGCTTCTGAGGGGCTGAGAGGCAGGAGCGCCCTGTGGGTGTCTGCTCCCCCGGGAGCCTGGGTTGGGTTTCGGGCTTCCTGAGTGACACCTTGCAGGTGGGGCAGGTAATCCCACTCCCCCAGCTCCCGCCTGCTTTCCTGTGAAGACGGGGTAAAGCTCTCAGGGTTGGTGCAGTGATTAGGAGCTCAGTGCCTGGATGGAGGAAAGGTCTGGCCACAAAACGGCTCATCCTCCCTTCCCTCCCATCGGTGGCCTGAGGTCTCCTACCCGCACCGAAGCGGCGGGAGCAGGTGGGGGCTGTCCCAGCGCTGGGCGCAGGATGGCCCTTTAACCTTGACCACAAAAAGGAAAGTAAGATGCCAGCCGCTGCCTGGCAATGTGCTTTCAAAACACATGCTTTTAATTTTGGAAGATTCTCTGAAGTCAAATAAACCTAATTTTAGCTCGTGCCCTATCCACGCACACGTACTCACCCCCGAAGGAGGCTCTAGTTTACCTGTGTTGACAGCCACGGGTACGACTTTGCTCTGATTTTTTTTTTCTCATGTTAGTTGTATGTGTCTCTCTCTCTCCTTGACTAAACTAGAATCCTCTTCAGGAATCAACACATGTCAGCCATGACTCAAATCATTCTCCCATCCATCTATTCCTCCCTCATTTGATCCATTCACCATTCTGTGATCTGTCCTTCCATCTGACCATCCAACGGCCCACTCTTCCAGCCACCCACCTATCCGTTTGCCCATCCTCCACCGTTCACCCCTGCCCCGTCATTCGTTGGCCAACCATCCATCCATCCATCCATCCATCCATCCGTTTCCCCATGCAGCAACATGTACCACGTGCCCACTCTGTGCCACGCACTGGAGGTGTGCCATGATTGCTGAGCTCCCTGGAGACGTTGCACGCCTGCCCCTCAAAAGACACAGCAAGGCCCCAGGCCCACAGCCATCCAGTTTTCCCCTTGAGGACGGAGTTCCCCGAAGGCACTGATGATAACTTCCTACCTGCACCCATGATGAGGCCCGGGGCAGTGTCTTTGGTGTGCACGGTGCCTGACACGTAGGGGTTGTCTGCCCATCGCAGGTGGAGGTGGAGGTGGCAGTCCGGCTGCAGGGGCGGGGGGAAAGGGGGCCAAGGTCAGCACTCGGGTGGGAGACATGTTCTCAGGAAAGGTAGGACTGAGGCATTTCAGGTGGGAAGGCAAGGCCAGGAGCATCTCGGAGGAGGGGATGGAGGGCAGGAAGGAGGCTCTGGAGCTGACTGCAGGGTGGAGGCCATCAGGTCCAGGGGGACTGGTTGTGGACAAAGCCAGCCGGGCTTTTCCGAGGGAGGGTCCTCCCAGCACGAGAGAGCACGCCCAACATGTAGTGGACATTCCCACGGGCGGTGCCCGGTCACTGAATGTGACTCCTGGAGCCTGCACACCCCTTGGCCACATCCATCCGTCTGTCCATCCATCCATCCACCCATCCATCCATCCATCCTTCCAGAACCTTTCCCGGGGGCCTCCTAGTGGCGGCGGTAGGTAGCCCAGGCGGCAGGGAACGGCTGTAGGACACGCCAGCAGCCCTGCACCTCCAGTGAAGAGCCCACTGGCAAGCATCACGTGTGCCCTGAGGGCAGCCCTGGGAGGGGGGGGTGCCCTGGCGGGAGGGGCAGGAAAACCAGTCATTATAATCATTTCAGTGGTGACTCACATGGATGTGTCAGCACTGAGCTCAGCACTGCACGTCACTGACACTCTCCACATCCCTGTGTCACCAGTTGAGGAAACTGAGGCAGAGAGCATCTAAGCAACCTGCCCAAGGGCAGTAGTGGGGCTGGGGCTATGACCCAGGCTGCCTGCACCCAGTGTCCACACTCTGAGCCTGCGGGTGACTCCCTGGCACGGGATGCACCGCCAGGCCAAACTGGGCCAGGAGCCTCCCAGAAGGATGAGCGGAGCACTTTCCCGTCTGGCCACTTGGCAGGAACATACCCCCTCACCCCCCCGTCTCCTCCTGGCTGCCCGCACCCCAGCTCACCCCCAGGTGGGACTGGGGGTCCAGGGAGGACAGATGAGCTGAGAAGGACGTGTCCTGTGAACTGTGGCCTCCCCGAGTGTCCCCAGACCTCAGGGGCTCGAGGTCGCAATCTTGCCTGCACCCTCTGACACCCCCATGACAGACTACAGAACCATGGGACCAGGTCCCAGGCCTCCACACAGCGCCTTGGGGCACTGGAGGCTACACGGGGCAGGGACCTGTCAACCATGCCCAGGGCTGCCCGCACAGAGCACCGCAGCACCTGCTGCTTCTTTCGTCCTTCTGGGACGTGAGCCTGGGAGGTGGGGTCTGGGGTTCTGACTGGCCGAGCCCACCTCGGTAACACAGGAAAGGGAGCAGGAGGGCCACCAGAGACCCCGCCACACACCAGACCTCAGAGGGGGTCTTGGTTGACAACTCTGGGATCAACCTTTCCGGAGGCCCCCATCTGGGGGCCTGGAATATGTGGGGCCATAGAGAGGGCTGGGGTTTGAATCCTTATACCCCCCGAAAGCTGTGTGACTCTGGAAAAAGTGCTTAGCGTCTCTGAGTCTCTGTTTCTTTCTCCACTTCACAGTATTACTGGATTAACACAGCACAGCTTTTGGAGAGAACATCGGGGTCCAGCCCAACCCCAGACAAGGTTTTGCTTAACGGCTTACTTATAAGAAAAGGATTAGTTTCTTTGGCCCTCTTTTTTATTCCCTGGAAAAATCTCCAGTTTAGAATTACCGTGGCACCGAGCCCCCAGAGAGCCCGCTTTTAACTTGGGAGATGCCACTAATTTTATGGACACCTCTGGGCCTTGGTCTCCTCATGGTGATATCAAGGCAGCGGTGCCCGCCGCGCACGCCTCCCAGGGTGTGGGAGCGACCCTGCAGACCCCACTGTCAGGACCACGTTCTACCATCTGCTGACGTCTATCTGAGAGATGCAGCTGCTCCTCCTTTTATGTTTCATGGCACTTTCTTCGGGCCCATGGACGGAGCACATTTTAGATGATCCTAAGGGACAAGTGAAACCGTTCAGTAAACTGGACGTCGGCCCAGGTCAGGGGGCACCAGGTGGCAGCCCCGGGGCCTGGTCCAGTCTCTGCAGAGACAGGAAGCCGACTAGTGCAGGCTAGGGGCTGGGCGTGGGGTGGGGGGT